AACTCAGGAGAGCCTCTTGTGTGTTTTAAAGGATCAGATCTAGATCCCTCTATATTCACTTCCTAGTAGTACTCATTTATCCCACACCCTGCCACCCATTTGGAATTCCATGAAGAAGATAAAAATGAAGGGAAAGGCTAGTCAGATTTTTGTGTATCATAGAATCATTCTCTTCAATCCTAGATTTCTGAGGCCTAGAACTGAGATATTTCTTGAGCAAGGACAACAATGCCTTGATTATGCATTATCAGATGGTGCATGGAGTATCTTTAGCCTGGAACGCCCTCTTATACCTTTCCCTCCTAAAAGCTTTATTGGAAAACTGAAATGTCTCTCCTGTAAAGTCCTTCCCGACTTATTCAGCCACAGTTCAATACTTCCACATTTGGCCTCACTTCCTTTGCTCAATTTTCTCTGACGATTGCTCATTTCTTACTCCTGCCCCCAGAATGGGTGCAATATATCTTTTTTATCTGCCCACGTCATGATTAATTTATCCCATATCAGTAGCATTGCTTTATAACTGTATGCTTATTAGTTTGGTTTTTTTTCCCCCTTAGATTGAGTACTTCTTTAGACAGATACTAGGTCTTGATATATTCTTATTCCTGATACCATAGCTGTCACATAGTAATTGGCCAATGAATGTTTGTTGACCAACTAAATGAATAAATGAATGATATTAGTATTTAACCCTGTCTTAAACTTAGCATGTTGTGTTGTATTTCCTAAAAGGCTGGGAGCTTTTGCCCAGTGAGGATTATTTAAATTTTTATATCTCTAAGTTTTTATCTCTATATTTACCTAGCAAGATACCTTTCATGTAATATATGTTTGATAAGTGAAAGATGGATAAATGAATGAATGTTTGTATAGTTCTATCATGGAATACTTCCCGATCCAGAAAACAAAACTATGATTATGAGAATTATTTACTGTGAACTAGAAAAGAAACCAGAACCTTTCAGCTCTTACTGTCCGTACAGAAAAACATGCTATTTTGAATGAAACGTTTAGGTCAACATTTTATTTGGATGGATCAGTTCTCACTCTGCTGCACACAACTTTTTCTGAGGATGAAATAACTAAATGTCTAGATAAGCACTTTGTAAACTCCAAAGCACTCTAACAGTGTATAAGCCCCTGATACACAAATAATTTCCCACTCTTTCTGGGTATGGAATGGGTTAAGAAGAAAAATTTTAGAGTTTTCTTTGCAAATATTTGTCACTGTTCAAATTCTTTATAGTTACATATTTATATAGTTAATCTGAGGTATAATTGGTCAGCATATTTGGCTAATTTTCTTAGAATATTATGGAATGAAATATGTCAAGATGTTAAAAAACACAGTCAGAAAAACACAGCCAAGGAAGATGAGAGACTTGGATATTAACCTATTTTTAAGAGACCAAAACCACTGAGAGTTTTGTCTCTTGAAAGGACATATTTTTCAGGGTTAGCATTGCAGATCTCTGAATCCTAGGTGAGTAACATATTAATAAGACACAGTTATAAACTTTATGGGTAGAAAAATGGAAGAGAAGGGAAAGATAAAGCTCTATCATTAGGGAAATTTGTTGCCAACTTCTATCTTAAATTTTTGCTTGGAGGGCTGGGCTTGCCCTTGAGGGAATTGTAATGTTGCCACTTAATTTTTGGCTTATGAATTAACCTTGGGGTAGTCTTGAATATGTCCTTTCTCCTAGCATTCATACCAGTTCTAGCTGGCCTTCTAAGGGTTTGGGATCTACTAAGTAGGTGGCCCCCAAACTCTATCATGCCACAGTATGCACATTAAATATTTTTAAAAAAATATGTTGAAGAAGTAAAATGAAGGCTTCTAGGAAAAAAGAGAATTTTAAACCACTTTACTTCTTCACCTACTGTGGCAGTTCCCATGACCCATGTTAGATCTTGTCCTCTTTAGAGGTAAAGTGGTAGATAAAACATGAGATTTGGGGTGTTCAATAACCACATTTAAGTAGAAGGCTCTTTTGAGACCATCTGATCTAGTGGTTCTTAATCTTTGTTATCACTGGAACTCGCAGGGAAATAACCATTTTCTGTTGGTATTACTAAGGTGCTCACAGATGATTCATCAGTAAATCAGAATGATAGAGGCTCTCAACTTCAGGGTACACCACTTTGGTAGAAGGAGCATATTAAATTCTTGTAAGGAAAATGAAGTTTAGAAAAGAATTTGGGTAAATTTGACACTCCTCCCAATATTGAATCATGGATCTAAGACAACTCTCTCATTTTACAGATAAGAAAAGTAAGTTTTAAAGGGTTAAAGTGAGTTTCCCAAACTTTCACAGATAGGTTGATGAGAAAACTCAAAGTTCTAATTTCTATTCCAATCTTTTTATAATCTTGGCCACATACCATGGAGTGAAAAATAATTTATGTTTACGTGGTTTCTGTCTTCAGTAGGCCTTTTTATCTGTCTGGCCCTGTATAATAATATTGTTAATTTGCTTAGTTAAAACACTAATGGGAAGACCTTAGTGTCAAAAATCAGGTCATAATGGAATAAGAAATAGACTCACACAGATTTCCAACTTTCTTTAGCCCATGCTATATATCTATAGAACTTCAAACACACCATATTTATACACCTATCATCTTATGTGAATACAGTCAGCCCTCTGTATCCATGAATACCACATCTATGGGTTCAACCAACAATGGATCAAAAATATTAGAAAAAGAATTGATAGTTGCATTTGTACTAAATACATACATACTTTTTTCTTGTCTTTTCCCTAAATACTAAATATAGTTTAACCAAATATAGTTTAGTACTAAATGTAGTTTAACAACTGTTCACATAGCATTTACATTATATTAGATATTAAAGGTAGTCTGGAGATTAAAGTATACAGTAGGATGTGTATGGGTTATATGCAAATAATACACCATTTTATGTAAGCAATTTGAGTATTAGTAGATTTTGGTATCTGTAGAAAGTCCTGGAATCAGTCCCCCACAGATACTGAGGTAAACTGTACATCTATTCCTCTACCCAAGAATAGCTCACTCATTTATTGAATTTGCTTCTTTACCATGTGCTCTATAAAGATATACACTATCTGGATATAAAACAAGCTTATTGTTACTATCAATAATAACAAAAATTATGAATTATTCCAAGGGAGACATTTCTCACCATTAAAATGTGGTGTTAATTATCATAATTGAAAATAATTGTTACCATTTTAATTATGCTTTCAAATTTCAAAAATCTTAACCCCACATGTAGATAAGTTATATTTGTTTATTTAGCTTAAATTTTTAAAAATAGGAAAAAATTGCCCTGTTACTTTGTATATTCTCATATTTGTAGCATCCTCACAAATTATAATAATGATCTGGGGTGAATCTATATCTTTTTTCTGTGAATAAGGCAAGATACTGACACTATTTTACAGATGTGATTACCAAGAGCATCTGATAGCAGCAAGCATGTGTCCACGTTGAGCTTGAAATTAGGGTCCTTACACCAGTCTAGTGCACCTATACCTTGCTGGTGCTGCATGTCATATTTTCATTCAGTAAAAAAACTGATCATGGAGATTGGTGATTGAAGTTTATTTCTATGGTGTCTTTATCTCTAATCACTCATACAGCACTTCAGGGCTTAGTAATGCCTTAAAATAGATCACCTAAATAGAGGTTGTTGTAAAAAGTTTATAAATTTCATATGCACGAGTTATTAGCATGATAGTGGTACTGAATTCAGTATTTTATTCAGCTCAATCAGAAATGTTAGGATCACTGATAAGATGAAATCAGATTGGATTACGACAGACATGCCTTAACTCCCATGAAACAGACATAAAATCAAAAATACTTGAGGCAGCTTCTTATAAAAGGAAGACTATACATAGGTACCAGAGTCAGCCAGATTCTTGCTGCAGTTATAGCTATGCTGGTTTCTAGTAGGGTGACTTTTAGACAAGTTGCTTAACCTTGCTAAGCCTCAGTTTTCTCTTCTATAAAGTGGGTATAATGCTTCCACCCATGCATATTGTGGGGACTAACGATAATATAATGCATCCAGGAACAAAATGTGGTATATTTAGTAGCTTAATAAATCACAGCTGTGATTTTTATGATTATTAACATTATTAGTATGCCTATATTATCATTGAGTGTACAATAAAGGAAATTAAAGATAAAACATGTTTTATTATTATAGAATCCTCTCCCTACATCTTTAAGGCTAATCAGTTCTCATTACAGAGATGGAATAGTATTGTTGGTTAAAGGGAATCATTTTATTCTTTTTTAAAAGCCAATTATTTAATAGAAATGAATTTATAGGAATGATGACAAAAGAATATGTTAACTGAAGATAAATTTCTTATGTAGAAAGAAGTACCAGGAAAATGGCTTAGAATGTTGAACCTCTGGCTCCTTCAGCAGATTATTTCATTTCTCTGCATCTGAATTTTTGATGTGACAAGAAGATGTCTAATATCCTAGAAAGAATCACCTAGAAAGAATCACCTAGAAAGAATCATCCATATAAGAATCAAGCTTATATGGAAGGGTAGACAAAAAAGTCTTTCTATACACTGACTAAGGGGATCTCAGAAAGATATAATGTGTATCAGTGTTGTCTGGGAGCCTGGAAGAGAAGAGAATAGTTCAGCCTCTCTGAGTTAGAAGACTTCTCAAGTGGTTTCTATTCAGGCTTGGGGGGCCAGATGCTGAGAAACCCTGGTACCAAAACCCTAGTCTTTTTGAAAAAGCTGAAAAAAAATCCAAAAAACCAAAAACGTAGTTCTTAGAGTAATAGAAAAAAGGGTATTTTCCTAAGAGTAGAAATTATGTACCTAGTTTTCTTGCAGCACTGCACCAAAAAATCACTCTCAAAGACTTCTGCTATACTTGTAAATATGGTGATAAACATATTGATAATAAACATGTCAGCTAGTGTATATTGCTGCATATAATATATAGAATATAACACTATTTTTACTTATTTTCAGCAAAACCAAAGCAAATGCCCAGCCCAGAATTGTTCAGTGGAAGCCCCTGCTTGGATGCCTGTCCACCAGTGTACTGTAAGTTTGATTGTTACAAGAATGGTCATATTGGAGGAGAAATGTTTTTATATTTTGGAATAATCTTAGTGGAATGAGCCAGAGTACTCTGAAATTCTGGAGTGGAGTAATCTTTTGAAAGGAGAAAAAATGTCTTTTGAGAAAGCTTTGCATTGTAAAAAAATTCTTGTGATTAGGGATTCCATGAATGTTTTTGGAGTCAGAATAACTTGCAAAGAATTTCTCTAAATGGGTATTGATGAGTTAGATTTTGATGGTCATTAAAATAAATATATTTGCATGTATATTTTTTCCAAATAGCTGCATATTCAGCAATATTTGATTTTAGATGCCTTAGAGAAGGATGCTTTCTCTTCTGTCATTGTGTTGACTGCTTAATAGTGATGAGTACATAGACTTGCAATTTTCAAGTCTTCTTAGTGTAATAATAGTCTTTGCATTTGTGTGGAATCTTCTATCAGAGAGTTTTCAAGTGCCTTAGAAACAAACAGGTACTATGTCATTATCCTTGTGTTACAGATGGGAGACTTAAGTGCAAAGGGAGTAAGAATAGTGCATCAGTTGTAGAGCTGGGAATAGATCCCAGACACCTACCTCATTTTTGATGTACTCATTCTACTACACTGTGTGCTCTGAAGTAAGTGAAGAAAGTGGCTAATTTGGATGATATTCTCTTATACATACATTGCCTGATAGAAATGACAGTGGTTTTCCTGAGAAATTGTATATGTTGTAACAGACAATTTGCTTGTCATGAAATAATTTGTGTGTAATGGGGACAAGAAATTAGGAAGTTAATTTTTGGGCATTTCCCTCATTTGACTCACCTTTCAGGCAATGTAAAAGTGATATGTAGGGCTTCCTAAATATCCTCATCTGTGGTTGAGATACAAGGTGCTGAAAGATACAGCTGGACTTGTGACTGTATTGTAAGGCATTAGGCCTGGGGGAGGCTGCTTTTCATACAGATTGTGTGAGAGATGAAGCTTCTTTCCTTTCAGTTTTTGTTTATCTGTGGAAGGAAGAGAAGGTGGGATCACCTTTAGTGAAAGAGAGATGATGATGCTAAATTAGTCCCTCTGACCATCAGCTCATAAAAGTGTGACATTTTTATTCTCCAAGTCAAGATAAGTCTGGGCTGCTTCTGTATTACAGGAATATCTGGGACTAATAGATGGTTACATTTAAGAATCTTCCTTTTCCGCAGACGTAGCCAATAAAAAAAAGAAGAAGAAAATAAAATTATAATAATAATTAAAATAAATAAATAATAATAAAAAAAGACTCTTCCTGAAAATCACAAGTCAGAAGTGCCAACAATAAAGTCTGATTCTCAGTTCTGTGGTCAGCTGAGAACATCAGAAAGTAGATGTTTCTTTTTACTTACCTCATGGAATTGGGAGCTGCTGGTTTCATAAAAATTCCTTTGACATTTACTTAAAAGTAATTACATCTCCCAGTGGGACAGACATTTTCTGAAGGAGCTGTGCAACACACACTGCTTTTCTTTCACTCTAGGTAACCCCCTACCCACAAAAGTGGGCTCCCAGTGGCCACATTTGGGTTATGTGAGCCTGCCCCTGGCCATCATTGACTGATCCAGGGATAGACATCTAATCTTAGCAGGGCCAATTGGATTATTTTTCCTGGGGATTTAAAATTTGTACTAGGAATATACCAAACTGGTAGTCATTGATATCAAATTATATGGATGATGATACTTTGGAAAAAAATCTGTGAACCTTTGTTGTTCAGACCCCTGGAACTGCCCTATATTATGCCTTCTGAGGTTTTACTGAACCAGATATCCATCTGATTTGTGAAAATGTCCCAATAACTCATTACTAATCAATGTTACTTTTTTCCTGAAATTATTTAGATTTTGTTTTGCTTTATTTCATTTGTTTATGGTCTGTTCTTTGATTTACCTGTAACCAAAAAGAGAAAGAAAAAACATTAACTAATATACCCAGTGAGCAACATTTATCGATCCCCAACTAGACCTAATGTAATGAGTAGCAGTCTCACACATAAAGAAGTATTCAGAACACTGGGATTTTGATCATTTATAATGGTCTACTCATTCCAAATATTTTACTGTAGATAGCACTTGGGTACATTAAAACATGACCAAAGAATAATTAGATGATGACTTAATTCACATTATAGAATGAGAAATATGGATAGTTAACTCTATAGTTAGTATATACATATTTATGTAACTAAAAACTATATATGATATGTAAAGTAATTCTAGTATTAATTTTCATTTCTCATCTCTTGGAAAATACTGAAAATCTTAGTCTTATGTGTTTAAGAGAAGGTTTGACTATCTCAAATTCTCCAAGAGCTGAAGCAAGTTATAAATAAATTAATACATATTTATATGTATAATAAATGGATAGTCTATTATCTTTGTGCATTTTTCAAGTTCAGTTGATTCTCTCTACATTTCTCTCCCCCTCGCCTTATTCTTGCTCTTTGGTATTCTACTCTGGAATGATTGTTTCCTTGTAATTGGACTTTATTGCTTTTTGTAAAAAAGTTTTGGTCTTCATGTGCGCAATTGCCCCAACTTCATTTAAAATGCAGAGCGTTTATCATTGGTTTCCCTAAGAAAGCTTCTCTTTCCAAATTGCTTTGCAAATGCCTGTCACCAGTTGCATATTGCCTTAAAAATGGCTTCTATTACTATTTGTTTAGTCTCTTCCTGGATTTTCTCTTTTTTGGCACTCCACACCTATGTAGTAATGAGTCCAAGAGGTTTTTCTTGTTTTATTTTCATTTTTTTTTAAAAGACTTTCCCTTTTAGTCAGAACTATAATGTACAGATTGGGGTTCAAGTAGAAAAGAAAATTTACCCCTAGTAATTACCTGGAAACATAGACATAATTAAATATCCTGAATGACTATACATGAATTATTTTCCCTAGTGAAAGGTGTGGCAGTTTAATTGTTTATTTCTCATTGTATGACTATATTAATTACTAGAATGATACTATTCCTTAACCCTACACTTTCAATTTAATTAGATTATATGCCTCATTGATGTGTATGACTATGAATATGAACATAGTAGTTACCTGAGCCCCTGCCACTAGTAAACAATTGGGAAGATGCCTACAGGTTCTAGGACTCTGGTGAAGAAAGATCTCTGAAGAATTAGCTCCTGGTACATGGAAAAAAATAAACTTGCAATTGACCAGCTTCAAGAATCATGAGTGGCTGTTGCATTTCAGGACATATTTCTGGATCACTCAGTACAACTATGTCCTATGCATGTATTTAATCATTTTGAGGAATATTCCCAAACTCAATGCTTAGTTATTGGGCATAATTAGATATGGCTGTAACTGGGCGATTTAATTAATTAGACATATAATACATGATTTAGCTGGAATAATTGTTTTGCTTCTTTGCACAGCCCTCAGTTACTAGAAATCAAAGAATAATGCCTATAGAAGAGTTTCTAAAAGCTAAGTTGAAAATAAAGTTCCTGCTATTATGGAACCTATTACAGCTATTGCTATATCTGTTTATTTCTATTATTATATCAACACATAAATAGATACATGAAATATTCTCAAAAATCATGCAAGCATTTACAAATTAGAACACTACATTCTGAATATATCAACTCTCATTTACTTCTTCAAGAAACATTTACTGGCCGGGCGCTGTGGCTCACGCCTGTAATCCTAGCTCTTGGGAGACCGAGGCGGGCGGATTGCTCAAAGGTCAGGAGTTCAAAACCAGCCTGAGCAAGAGCGAGACCCCGTCTCTACTATAAATAGAAAGAAATTAATTGGCCAACTGATATATATATAAAAAATTAGCCGGGCATGGTGGCACATGCCTGTAGTCCCAGCTACGTGGGAGGCTGAGGCAGGAGGATTGCTTGAGCCCAGGAGTTTGAGGTTGCTGTGAGCTAGGCTGAAGGTATAACTATTCTAGGTTATACCTATAAAAAAAAAAAAAAAAAAAAAAAAAAAAAAAAAAAAAAAAAAAAAAAAAAAAAAAAAGAAACATTTACTGAGCACATAAGTTGTAACCAATTGTTGGATTTCTCAATGTGGAGCAAGAAACAATACATGTACACAAGTAATAATTATACTTGGTAATACATTCTATAATAATGGTCTGTACAAAGAGCTATAAATTTTAAGAATGGAAAATTACTTCAAGTTAGATTTTGGAAGACAAAAGATGCAATGTTTAGTCATAGTTAAGGGTATAAGCTTTAGAATTGAATGAGATTTGTGTTAAAATACCAACTCTGCTACTTACTAGCTATATGACGTAGAACAACTTACTTAATCTTTCTGAGTTTATGCACACAAAAAAGTATTTTGAGATTTACGTGAGATAATGCATAGCAAGTGTTAACATTGTACTTGGCACAATAGTAATTGTGTGATAACTGCTAGGAGGAAAGAAAGAAAAGGATAGGTCATTCCACAAGGGAGTAGATGGGGCAGAATGAATTGATGAGGAAGAGTGTAACAAATAGGCAATAACTTGTTATTAATTTGGGGTTACTTATTTAGATTTATTTATGAGGGCTCTTTCTTCAAAGAGGGATTCAGGCTGGGACAGGAAAAGTTTCTAGAGGTTAATATACAACTCTTTAAGACTTTGAAAGCAGAAATCTTGCAGCTTTTGAAAATAAATGTTTTGTTCTCTGATAGGAATTGATGATGTAGGAGTGTATATTAACAAGAGATGTTTATATTCCAAGTAACAACATAAAACCATTTTCAAGGAGTGGGGCCTGATACTTCTTTTCATTTAAAAACATTTTAACATTTCCCTACAATGTCTCTCTAGATTATGAAAGTAATTTTTCTCTTTTAGGGGAAATCAATAAAAACAGACTCCTCATAGAAATCAGAGGAGATGTTCTTTTAAAGTGTTAATTGTTTCAGCATGTTCTCCCAGACTGCCTCACATTATCCCACAGTCGGGATCATTCACTCTAATTGAAAGCAGTTAATACAATG